TTTTACTGTACTGAGTGTATATACTACTCTATATTTACAGATGAAGTAGGGATGGAGTCGGAATTAGAGTTGCTGATTTCTGAGCTAGCAAATAGAGGAACATGACAATAATTTTTTCGTTATTGGGCATGACGGAGTGTATAATAACTAATAGTAGAGTAGATAATGTATCTGATAGGAGTTTATGAGATTATCCTTTCACTGTGATATTACATGTAGGGTTACAAGTTTATTGTGACTTTAAATAATATATTGTGGTAAGGTTTCTATATTTGTGGTGAATTTGGAATGACGCTTTCATATGTGGTTACAGAATTATCTTAGATTATGCCATTAAAAAAAAATAAGACGTTACCCGTACTAAATTAATTTTCTAAAAGGTATTAAATTTATCTTTTAAAAATTGAAGTATTTTAAGTGCGTAATATCACAACCTCAGGGGCTCCATATGTTGATTAGTTGTAACATTTAATTCTTGTACGGTAGCATTTACTTCAGAGAAATTATGAAACGAAAATAAAAGGCAAAGCTAGTTTAATAAAAGAAAAATAATCAAACAAAACAATTATTAATAGAGAAATAGGAAAAGGAAACGTACAGAGCCAGACATGCGGGACCAAGGGCCATGGTCAAAGGCTTGACGTGCAGCCTTGACGGCCAAATCAATGTCCTCCTTAGCTCCTTCTGCAACGATTGCAATCGCTTCTCCTGTTCTTGGATCTATAGTCTCGAAAGTTCCCCCTGTTAAAAAAGTCTTTTACTTTTATTTTCTTATTTCAACGGCCATATTAATTATTGTTCAGCAACTTGCCATGTATATTTTTTATTTTCAGGCAATATTGTCATCCGGTAACAACAGTACAATGACTTTTGTGAGCCGGGGACGACTATGATAGATTTCACAAATAATGAAACTCTTGTAATTTTTGAAAAAAAAAAAATATTTTTTGATTTCGTACAACCATAAACTTCAAGACTTTCAATTTTATTATTTTTAATAAGTTTGTAATTTGTTATTTTAAATTATACAAAATAATATTTTTTTCAAGAAATTTTATATAGTTATTACCATATATTAATAATGGCAGGAATGTAATTAAAAACTATAGAAACATAATATATTTTTTTTCTTGATGCTGTTATCTTCTTTCAAGGAGACAACATAACTCTACCCAGTTTTTTTTTTTTTTTTTTTTTTTTAATTTTGTGGTAACTTAACGTATTACATAATAATTTATTGATATTTTGTTGGTAGGTATTTATGATACTTACTAATTATTTACAATGTGATTAATTAGCATATAACACCATAAAATTACCCCATAGATTATATCCCACGTGAGCAAAATAAACGACCACGATCCCAGATATCTAGGAACTTCACCTTCTTAACCCATGGCGGTAAGGCAATGTATGATGACGAACCCCCCATCAATGAATACTAATAAAGAAGATGTGCTCCATTTATAACAGACACCCTACCCTCCACATTCATCCAAGAAAATGGAAACGAAAAGACACATACCTATACGTGCCTTCAGTCAAATCAAGGGGCACTCCCCAAAATCAATGAAATAATGGAGGTACTACCGAAAACCAGCGTATTCCCTTAAAAAAAGAGAGGAGATAGCTAGAACAGATATGAAAAAGTGGCTTATGATGGAAATTGTTAGATTCTTTTTTATCAGATAAATAACTTGCAAAAGTATTTTTGAAATGATAAGTAGAAATAAGACAGAATTTAGTAAAAGTTAATTTATTATGTTTAATTTTTTATTAAATTGTTTAAATATTATTATTTTAACAAAAAAGTAGCTCCAATCTGAAATTATTTAAAAAATATATATATTTTTTTTAATTTAAGCATTTTATTTATATAAATATTAATTTTATATTATCTATTATTGAAATAGATATTTTTAAAAATTTATAATAAATATAAAATTATCAATAAACATTAAATTAATAAATTAGTAACAGAAAAAATTAATAAATATCTGAATACAAATATTATTTACATTTATAAAAAGTATTTGTTTCTAATTTTTAATTTTATCTTTGACAAAACCTACAGATAATTTTTGTTTTACCTAAAAAATATTTATGTTTATGTTTATGTTTATGTTTATATTTTTTAGTATTTGGTCAAAGTTTTTTTAATAGTAAATGCCAAAATTCAAACAAATAGACTCTTCAAAAACAAATAAATTGCAAAAGACCCACTAAAGTTTAGCATAGTGTACAAAATTACTATATTTTATCCTCTTAATAAGTTATTAATGTTATATTTGAATGTCTAAATTCAATAGAAATGATAAAATTACTATTATGAAAATAAACTAACATAATAGCTTTAATAATTTATTTAAATAACTTTATTATTTTAAAAAAAAATATGACGATTTCATTATTCAATAATGAGTGTTATAGTAGTTTTTATAATTTCTGTTAAAACTTGAACAGTTAGATGCAGCATTTGATAAGTTAAACACATAATTAATAATTTATAAAATATGAAGTTTTTTGGTTGGTTTTTAATAATTAGTTAATATTTACGTATCATACCAGTCCTCCAGAAAGCTTGTATAATATACCCTCAAAAAAAGGTTATGGGGCAAAAATAGTGGCCGATGGTGAAAAATTTAACAGAACCAAAGTCAATCCATCAAGCAGCAGAAGATCCTTAATAATTCAAACAACAAACACAAACCTGATAAGTTCAAATTTTAATTAAAATAATTAATTATTACTTACTTTTAACAACTACTTGCACGATATGACGACTGTATAATTCCGGTATAAATTGTTTTAAAATAAAAATTTTTAAGGAGAAATTTTAGAAAATAATGGAAAATAATAATAAAGAGTATTTAAAATATAATCGTAGTTATAAATAAAAAAAAATTAATGCAATAATTATTTTTAAAATAACGCGAAACCGACCGCAGTTTAGGGATTCATTTCCCCCGCAGCTGCAGAGGACCAAACCTTTTCTGTTTTACCTTTTTTATTTTGGTCGTAAAAACAGGGCACAGGCTTTGCGCCTCAGTTTCCCCACCGTTTTCATGCTTTTTTTTTTTTTTTGCAGCTCAAAAGTCAGACCAGGAAAATAAAAATTGATTAACAGTAATCTAAAACAACAAGCCCAAGCAGGCAGCAGTCAAGCCCCATCGCCGAGCTTATTGGTGACTTGTATTTGACAGACAACAAATCTAAATTAATCAAATCAACAAAGCAATACTGTCCGTGCAAAACACTCCAAAGCAGTAGAATCCATCCTAAACTGAAAGAGGACGACCACAATAATAAATTAAAGAGAGCACACAGCACGAGCCGAGCCTCTTTTCGTGCGTGCGTTTCTCTGTTTGTGCTGCCTATGTGTATTGTGCGTGATAAAAAAAGAGAGAGAGAAAGATAGAGAGGAGGCAAAGCAAATCGAAACGTACCTGACACAGAATCAACAAACTCGCCATTGATGAAAAGCTTCGTGAATTTTATTGTCGGCAGCTTCATGGAGTAGTCTAATTTTCCATTACAGTGATTCGCCATCTCTCAATCGATTTCGTCTCGTTGGCCTGCTCTCTCTCTCTCTCTCTCTCTCTCTTTTCAGTTGTTGGTGTTCTCTCGTTTACTTTACATGATAAAGGCTACATGCACACACCGGGCACATATATATATATATATATATAAACCAGCCGTATTTTTGTCGTCTTCTGATTAGCGATTGGTTTCAACGTAATCACATTTTTGTTGTGTCCAAGATCCCAAATAATCTAAATCTGATTTTTTAGATATTAACTAATTAAGTAGCAATATCCTTAGGTAGAAAAATCTGTAATGATATTAAAGTAAAAATACCAAATTCAGTTACATGTTAATCAAATATTTTGTTCGTTATTAGTTAACACTCAAACTTATAAATTTATTCAAATGCACAGAATTTGTCCAAATTCTAACATAAAAAGTAAAAGTGTTTGGCTTCCAAAAAAATAAAAGTTATTATTTGTCTTCTTCTCCATAAAATCCAATAAATAACTGAATCAGATTATAGATTAATTAATTTGAACAAATAAATAAGATTATAATATAATGAAAATCAGATTACATAATATTAGTTTAATAAATAAATTAGATTATAACATAACCAATATCATATTTAACATAATCATTCATAATCAAATTATAAAATCATCATAAAAATTTTAAATTCTATATTTACAAATTTATTTACATAAATCCACCATTACTTATTTCTATTCTTCTATCTCCTTTGTTCTACTTTAAAAGTATATGACATATATGTAAAAGCTCAAATCTCTATTAAAAATTTTGAGCATTTAACCTTATTATAATAATACAGTAATACTAAAATAATCATTTTATAGTAGAATTAAAAATTTAAAGGCTATATTCCTTACACACTTATTTAGAATACTCAAATAGAGACTACTGAAATGTTTAGAACTTAAAACGAGAAAACTACTATAAAACAGTAATTAACCTCAACTCAAATTTGACAGAGCAAAAAGAGATAATGTTCTAGCTATTTTCTCACTGTTCGGGATCTGAGTTTTGACTTTCTTGGTATGAAATAGTTAATAAGAAGATGTTGAGCTATACTAACTAAAAAAGAATATCAATAATTTACTACTGACATGAAAATCAAAGGATTATAGAAAATATAAAATATCAATGGAGCATACTTTTAACGAAATTTGAATGCTAATGTATCCCTTATTCGTTTTACTGAAAATGTTATTATTCTCTTATCCAATTAGTAGTCATTCAAACACAACTCATCGAGATAAAGTCAAGATGAAGATTTAAACACAATAAGCATACATTCTAATGACATGTAACGTTGGTTTCTTTACTATTTGCCCAAAATTATGTTACTTACCATATCCATTCTCATCATACTATTTCATTCTCCCTACCAGTGTGGCTGGGGGCCCATAGGGATCCCTGCTACACGTGCATATAAAATATTTATTTTACAATTCATCGACCATTCCCATACTCTGTCTGGTAATTAACGCTATAATTTAAAGACTATCTCAATACTTTATCTGATATAAGCAAAATTCATTAACTCCTAACTCTATCCGATATGGGACATCCCAGCCCTGTATGGCTGAGGATACGTTCATGATAAGGTTTACCCTATGTACCAAGTCTGTATACTATCTCCCATAATACCTTATATGTCATTTTTTTATCAATTTACGAATGCATATTTTCATTATATTTAAGCCATGTAAGACTCGTGCCTCAAATAATAGAAGAATATGAAATTCATGTTTCAAATTTCGTTAAGTGATAAAATCGTAAATAGAAGCGAAGTAAAATGTCATAATAGAATAAGACCTTCAATATTGCAATAATATGAATAACAAAAGGAAATAAATAAATCAAGGCAAAATTAACAAGGTAAGATCCGATAATGAAGTGAAATGAAATAAACAAAATAACACAGCAAAATGGAATGAAACAAAATACAATGATTCAAAATGCGTGATTAATACATTATTTCTAGATGGACATAACGAGATAAGAATAAAAATAGATTAAACCAACAGAAAAGAAATAAACGACTATAAAATAAGTAAATAAGCAAATAAAAATGAAGATAAAATAAAAATAAAAATAATAAACACAATAAGATAATAATGGAGACAAAAATAACAAATAGCACAAAGTAAAACTAGTGGCGAACATAATCGTTTAACCAACTCCATCGACAACCTGTATTTAATTATCAAGAAACTACAGAACTATTTAGAATCATCATTTATTACCTATTAACCTTGATTTCACCATAACTGGAAAAAGGTTTAGGGATTCTTACACTAGGTCGAAGGCCACAACACCACCTCTCTCAACTATGGTTCACGATGGCTCCCGGTTTTAGGATTTCTTAGGTTTTCAGGTGAAATTAGAAAACACGCATCAAAATAGCGTGAAAACACGTAAAGGGCAATGAAAAAGAGTAGAGGAAGCTTACTGGGGTCGGTTTGGGGTTCTAGCACGACGACACAACTGAGCACCGCTGTCTAGTTCTCCTTCTTCAGTCCTCCTCTTTCTTGGCCAAGCCAAATCTAGTATGTTTATGATAGAAATCACCTTAAAACGTGGAAGAAGAGTGTCTTATAGAGAAAGGAGGGAAATTTCGGCCTTATTAGCATCATTTCAGTTTCCAGCACAGCCAAGTTTTGCTATCTACTCTCTCTCGTGTTATGGCTTTTCTTGGTTTATTCTGCATCAAGGTTAGTTTAGATGGTATAGGATAGAAAATAAGAAGAATGGGAGAAAATCGTGCTTACTAGCATTGTTTTCAGTTTTTAGCACGGCGGCGTTGGATCCCTCTAATGGCTGAGCTCCCTCCGGCGCCCCTTTCTTCTTTTTCTCCGATCAGCTTTGCTGGCTAGGGTTTGTGGGCTGACTGAAAAGAGGTTTAAATACCTCTCTTCACTAATCTCGTCCATCCGATTGAGTTGACATGGGGAAAGGAGGACTGTCTGATTGAGACCTATTTATGCAGATCCAATGTGCAAATTTGGGTCGTCCATCTCAATTTTTAGGAGTGAATATCACTCGTTCATCGTTCAACCGTTAAATCTTCATACGACTGATCATGACTGTCCGTTTAAATCTGGACGGGGTTTATAATCTGACCGTTTGTGCGAGTAGGAATGGATGTGGGTCGTTCGATCCATTTAGCACATGGATCGCCAACTTGGCTTCCCGTATGGAAACGCATGCTGACGCGGCCGCCACACGAGGTGCTGTGGTTCACCATGCTGTTGAGGTGGCCCCGTTCTTTTCCTTTTTTATGAGTTAACCCATGTTTTTCTAATTTCTTTTCAAATAGGCTCTCCCTATATTACAATTGTGCCCAAATCTCTTAAATTATTTTCAAAAAGATCCAAACGAATTCCCTTAATTATTTTTGTATTTTCGTGATGAATTAAATTTATTTACTCGTTCCATAATAAATAAATTAAAAAAAATAAATGGATAGAAATACATGAAATTAAACGAACGAAAATATTTTATTAACTCAAAATTGAATGGGTATTTCTCAACTTTGAGGTGTTATAATATCTCTATACTCCAATCATTTCTTCTTCCTCCTATCTAATCAATAGTAGATTAACATAATCAAATTATACAAACCGAAACCCATAACAAAGAAAACCCTAATACTTGTTCATCATCCAATCCATAACATTATTAGTCTATTAAAATAACTTTCGCGATTTTATCACGTGTTCCTCGATTGTAATGGGAAATGACAACAACCAGTTGCAAAGATGGGTCATCCCTCTGATTGTATATTGTATTAGTGGTCCTTAACCTAATTAGATATGTTAATTCTTCTCATTCTAAAATTAATTAGGCTGAAGGAATTCCTATGTTAAAAGTTATGAAATTAGTGATTTGTAACACCCAGGTCCATAATTTAGGCATAAAATAATTAAATCATAATAATAAGATAAATTAAAAAAAATTAATTTTAATTGAATTTTTAAGGAAAATTATGTTTTGAATGTATTTGAAAATATTTCAAAAATCAGGGACAAAGTATAAATCAGGAAGAACTTATTTGAAAAAAAAATTTAAAAACTGGAGTAAAAGTAAAAATAATAAAAATTTGGCCATGTGGATCACCATGCCAGCAGTGCGGCTGGTCGTCATGTACCGCGTGGCAGACATGCGGACACGTGTCCACGCGGTAAGCCATGTAGGCAATCCGTGTGCCAATGGATCCAACGACCCAAATCTTCCTCCCACACGCACGGACGTCCCATATCTGTTTCCTTTTCAGACATGATCAAACAGCTAGATTTAATCTAATGGTGCGATCTAGATTAATTTTCCAAATAAGAGCGATCCAATAGCTGGGAATGGGCCACGTGTCCCTGCACGAACGGTCCAAATCGATCCGAAGAGGATATTTAAGCATCGCTTAGCAGAAACTCTAACCCTAGCTGCACTAGACCCCGCTAGAGAAGAAGAAGAAGAAGATCGACTGAAAGGAAAGTCGACCATCATCGCCGCTGTAGCAGAGTTGCTGCCGACACCAGGGAAGTGAGTTTTTTTTTTTATTTCACTTCAGAATTCAATTTTTAGCCTCTCCACACCTATATCAACACTGGAAGGCCAAAAAAGAAGCTAAAAAATGAGAGTAGAGCTCGGCTAGCCAAAAAAGAAGCTAAAAAATGAGAGTGGAGCTCGGCTAAGCTGCCCCACCTGCGACCCAAAAATGCTTTGGAGAGCTCGTTTCTGTTTCCCATTCCCTTTAATCGTTCGACCATTGAATTTCTAATACGTTTCTAGTGCAGGATGACCGAAGAAAATCTCTAGCCACGAGAGAGGAACGGCGGAGCTGCCAAACTGAAAAACTCTCCCCCCGGTGAGCTTTAATTTTTCTCTTTTTTCAACCAACACAGGCCCATAATAACTAAGATTTAGGTTTTTTAAAAAATGGTAATAATAATAATAATATTATTATTATATAGTTATATATATGTGGGAGAGGGAGAAGAGTGAACGGTGTCGTTTGGGAGATGGGATGGACGGCTAGGATAGGTGATTTGTGAGAGGGAATAAACAGCTGAGATGAGTGTAGATGGTGGGATGGGATGGACGACTAGGA